TTTGTACATCTCTCCAAACCCATGTTCCTCCATTGCTTACTGTTTCTCAATTTGGTTCCCAGCAGACACAGACTGATTCACCTCAATATCATGAATTCTTTTTTTTTCTACAAAGACCCTGAATAGCTAGAGGTTTTTCTAGCTACTTGGTGAGTTTTGAAGGAAGTTTAGACTGTTGCAGTCCCTGTTTCAGAGTTGGTTCTCCTTTCCATCCCAACCTCTTACATTGTCAGCTTTCTATTACTGGAACAAAATTCCTAAGATCATCAACTTATAAGGAGGAAAAGTTTAATTTGGCTCACTTTTGGAGATTTCAGTCTCCATTGCTTTGGGACCAATTGCAAGGCAATGCATCATGGCAGGAAGTGTCTGGTGGAGCAGCTCATGGCTGGGTCATAAAAGGAAAAGGAAGGGGCCATGTTCCCACTGTCCCCTCCTGAAGACCTCCTACTGGGCCTTATGTTAAAGGTTCTACCATCTCCCAAGCCACAGGGACCTGTGGGGGACCTCTCAGATCCAGACTGTAGTACCTCCACACTCTGATTGTGTGGGTAGAGCAGTCTCTTGGATGGCAGCCAGATTCTGAAGGATTGGCACTTGACAATTTGCAGCTTCTCTTTCTGTCAATTGTCTGCTTTTTTCCTTTTCAGTTTTCTTAGGGTGTTGTTGTTGTTATCAAGGTCCTAGATATTAATTTAGTCTTCTAAAATTGAATTATATTAACTTCTCTATCCTTTATAAGACATGTTTAGTATCATTTAGCAATTTTGCTTTAAACACTCTTTCCTTAGTACATTGGGTACTGCTGGTTGGCAAAGCTGACAACATGAGTGATATTTCTAGTAATATTGCAAATCCCATGGATATTCCATATCCAGAATAGACCATTGACGAGGACATCAGTGTCCTCACTTCTAACCACCATTTGTTTGCAGTAGAGGTGTGATTCTGATGACATTGAGAAGACATTTTACTTGTGGATGAGTCTCAGTAGACAATAGAAGCATCCAATATATACAGAGCTTTTTGGATGAAAACCTTCTTTTCATACTCTAGATGTATTTTTTAACCTCCAGAATTATTTCTGTTGTCTGTCTCATTTGGCATATACCACATTTGTCATTTTGTTGACACTTTCACTTTTTAAATTTTCTCCTCTTTTCCCTTAATTCTAATTATTTTTTTTTTGTAACACTCCTAACACTGTGTTTGTGAGAATCAGTCATAATAGGGTGGTTAATATTCTAAAACACCTTAAAATCAAGTATTTGCACACTGTCAACTAAAGGGCATTGAGATGGCCTAGACTAAAATGGATCTTGTCACCATCTGTTGAAGGGGACAGAGCCAATGTTGAGGGGCTTCTGGATAATTTGTGTAGTTTAGCATATCATTTTGAATCTTTGCATTTATTCTTTTTTCCATAAATGTCAGTGTACTTCCTGTTTACGCAAATAATTTCAAAAGCCAAAATTTAAACAGAATTACAATGTGTTCTTATTCCCTGGTATTTAGAATATGTGGTATAAAAGACTTGTGTCACAATACATAATCTTATCACTAATGTAGGGGTTGGGTGGGTGCCTTTTCCCCCACATCCTTGCCAACACTTACTGTTGTTTGTATTCTTGATAACTGCTGTTCAACTCAAAGTGGATCAGGGACCTAGGAATTAGACCAGAGACCCTGTGCCTAATAGAGGAAAAAGTAGGCCCAAATTTTCATGTAGGAATAGGCCCCAATTTCCTTAACAAGACTCCTAAAGCATAAGAAATAAAGTCAAGAATTGATAAATGGGATGGATTCAAACTAAAAAGCTTCTTCTCAGCAAAAGAAACGATCAATGAGGTGAAGAGAGAGCCTACATTTTAGGAGCAAATTTTTTTTTGTCATAACCACATCAGATGGAGCACTAGTCTCCAAGATCTATAAAGAACTCAAAAAACTTAACACCAAACACAAAACAACTCAATCGATAAATGGGCTAAGGAGCTAAACAGACACTTCTTTGAAGAAGATATACAACGGATCAATAAATACATGAAAAAATGTCAACATCTCTAGTAATTAGAGAAATGCAAATCACAATACTGTAAGATTTTATCAAAGCATTTCTTATGTAACTTGTGACTATCAAGAGCTTTCTCCCTTACTTCTTCAGTGCAACCCTCTCCCTCAATTTTTTTTTTTTTTTTGGTTGTTGTTGTTTTTATAATGTAGCTTCTCAGCTATTGTTCCTCATCTAGTGGGGGAAAGGTAGGAAAATAAAGAAATAAAAAATAAAGTTAAAAAAAAAAAGGAGAGGTTGGATTTTGAGTATTTTGGAGAAGTTATAGAAGGAAATAACAAGGAGTATCTACCAAACACAAATGAGAGAATGAATAAGCATTCAATGGTTGGGACCCAGTAGGAACCTGGAATATGTGAGGGCTCTAAAACCCCCTGTTATATGTGCATGGGAATGAAGAGATGTGGAACTAATCTTAATCACTAGAAATATTCTGCATCTGTACTACTTGATATTGTAGCCACTATCCACATGTTGTGATTGAGTACTTAAATGCAGTGACTACACTTGAACTGAATTTTTATTTAATTTAAATTTAAATAGCCACATATTGGTCAGCACAAACTGAGAACAGGGGCTTTATAGAGTCCATGAGGAGAAGGCAGTGGTGGGAAGTAGGGGAGTTGAACAGCTTTCTCATTAGCCCCTTCAGCTCCATTCCCAAAACACAGATATTGGAGTGTGACTGGGCTAAGCAGAAGAACACAGGAACAGGAATGTCCTGTGCTAATCCTAATTTAAAGAAAAAAATCATTGTCCAAATTTATTTTTAAGGCGAGAACGTCAGTATTCTTTATGTAGTAGTGAAGATTCTCCTGGCTCTTGTGAAATCCTATACTTCTGCGTGGGTAGTCCTGATCAGCTCATGGTGCACAAAGGGAAATGTATTGGTGAGTAAACTAGCTAAGTTAATTTAAATTTTTGTTATGACGAAAGCTGATTGTGAGGAAACAGGGTGGACTAGATACCATGTTGTCTACATCAGCATAGTCCAAAGAAGGCTGTCAAGCAGGCTGTTGGTCATTCTAGCTCCCATTCCTCATGACTAGAATGAGAAGTTGTTCAGGTTTCCCCTAACATAAAACGGAAGTAAAACTGTGCTGTTGGAAATACTGTTAGCATAAGTAAAATTCTAAATTGGTCATAAAGGTAACTTAAATTTGTCATCAAATATTTAAGCTTTTTGAAACATAAAAGGTTTCAATATTATCAGAATTTTAAATCGTGTGCTTCTAATACTAATAAAATGTGTAACAAAATGGTTCTGATGCTTCTGATGTTTAATGACCAAATCTCATTTTCTTAAGTTGATATCCATTGATTTGGCATTTTCTTGCTTGGAATGTTGTACCTGGCCAGGAAAATTACTTTATTTTTTTATGTCTTATTTAGCAGTTTTGTCTATGGATAGCTTTTTGGAGTAAAGCTAGCTCTGCAATTCAGAATTTGAATTGCTTATATTAAAATCAAGTTTTGGGGATCTACTTCCTAAATGTACATTATCTTTTCTTAGCCATATTGATATAACTACTAATTGGTGTAAGATTTGCTTGATAATTTTGACAGTTGACTTTGATTTTTCATCCCATGAATACTCTTGCCAGAGTTAAAAGATAGCCATATTATCTAGATGGAATTTGCTTTCTTTCAGAGTCTTTATGCCATTTCTCTTTAAGGAGATACAAATAAGCAAAAGAATTACCAGGGCATAGGCAGCAGGTAGAAGAAGAACCAAACATCTGAGTGGTCTATGAACTGGACATTTAACCTTCACTGACTGAAAGCAGCCTGGACAGTATAGGGCTCTGCATACACAGGGCTGCAATACTCACAGCAACTGTTTGGGCAAATTAAGACCACGATAGAGATGGTTGGCTTGGGAACCAAGACTGTCTTTAATTCAGAGACTTTCAGATTCATGAACTGACAACACAAGCTCCCTAACTTTAATAACCTGGGGAAATCAGGAAGGCAAGTTACCTTGGTCTCTTATTCTCACTGGTATTCATTAGACAAATTCACCTTAGTTAATCCCTTCATTGGGAAGCATATTTACAACGGGAGAATTTTTTTATTAAATCATCAAGTAGTGAATAATTTATTTTGTTTTCTCACAATGAGTCTAGTTTTTAAAACATGCCTAAATTTCCTACAAAGTGTTTTTATAAAAGCTAAACTAATTCAATTTTAATGTTCAATGATATGTTTTTATTTAAAAAAAACAGCTAATTAGTATTTGTTTTTCAATGTAAAGTTGTTAGAACTAGAAAAAAAAGGAACTTACTTACATATGTGGATGAAGCACTATGGAACTGTCTATATATAAACGATCATTACCAAAATATAACAGAGTTTTAAACAGAGTTCTTTTGATAACATTTTCCTTTAGCTTCAGAGCAATGTGTTCTTCTGTTCCTTTTATCATTTCCATCATGGAAAAAGAGACAAGAGGGTGGCAATAATAAAATTGTAATTTTTTTTCAAAACCTAGCAATTATGAAGTGCCTTCCTAGTCCGAATTGGAGAAATGAATATTACAGGACAGTGAACTATATAACACACAAATTTAATTAGGCTTGCTGTAGATCACATCAGCCTCCATCTCATAAACATTTAATGTTTCGTCTCCAATAAACTATATAGTCCCACATTTCTCAGGTTGCTTCCTTTGGCTGACAGATTTTCAAACATCAGAGTTTTTCTCTTAGGCTAAGACTTTCAGGAGTTACTAACACAATAGATCATTTTAATTGAAATCTCTAATTATTAGCATTTCTCTGAAGTAAGAATTACTTCTGAGATTAAGAAATTTAGGTGAGGCAGTTTAGCCATATTTCTCCAAACTACTTTTGCTAAGACTACTTTATTTTATACATACAAGTTACTTCACTTTTCATTTTTCAAGTAGAAAACATAATTATCAGTATTCTTAAATTTTTTTCATTATGAAGAAAAATCAAAGTAGTATTTGTATGCTAAAAGAAAAAGAATACTACATATCAGTGGTTCTCAACTGGGGACAGTTTATTAGCTGAGGGGACATCTGGTGATATCTGCAGTTTCTTTTGTTGTTGTTTATTTGTTTTGTTGTTGTAGTGCTGGGGATGAAAATCAAGGCCTCACTCATGTGGGAGCAAGTGTTCTACGGTTGATCTGTGTCCCAAGTCTTGCAGATATTTTTGATGGTTAAATCTGAGGGCAGAGGTGTGTACTGTGGATGAGGGTCAGGCACAAGACAGCATCCTACAACAAAAGATTGTCTGGTGAAGAATCAATAATGCAAAGATGCTATATATGCTATGATTTGGTAAATAGGAAATAAAACAAAATAGTCAGGCCCCATGGCATGAACCTGTAATCCTAGCTATTTGAGAGACTGAGGTAGGATGATAACAAGTTTAAGATCAGCCTCAGCAACATGGTAAGACACTGTTGAAAAATAAATAAATAAAAATAAAGCAAAAGAATGTTTTTTCATTTTCTCCAGTATTTTGATACTTTTCTGTTCTAGTCCTTAGTGGAAATGAAGAGTTTCGTAAGAAAACTTCTGGTGTTAAAAAAATTTAGTTCTCACAGATATAAGTGGAAACCATATGCCTATTAATAAATATGTCTCCCTTTCTAGCTTTAAACTTCCTTCCCTCTAAAACATTGGCCAGTTTTTATTTACAGGGCATGTTCAAATTTTGTTTTTAGAAAGTCATTGGCATATTCATATTTTCAAATTTACTAAAAGCTCTAAAAGTTAGTTCTACTGTAGTGTACATTAATCTCTGCATTGTTGGAATAATCATTCCCTTCCTCCCAACCGCCCCCACCACCACCACCAAGCATTCTACCACTGAGCTAATCCCCAGCCTACTGATGAAATAATCTTTTTTTTTTTTGGTATGAAGGATTGAACCCAAAGATGTTAACCAAGGTCTCGCTAAGTTACTGAGGCTGGCTTGAACTGCCTCAGCCTCCTGAGCCACTGAGATTATAGGCATGCACCACTGCACCCAGCTTGAAATAATCTTGAGGGATATTCTTTATTTCCAAATTCTTTCTGTCATTTGAGTTGGTATTTAGCTATGTGAGGTAGGTCAGTAACATAGGCAGCAAAGGTGAACTGGTTAGGAAAGTAATAATGATAAATGATGGTTAACAGAATAAAACATTGTTCTCTTTATTTGACCTGATACTAGCATCTCATTGTCAATTCTTTTTCCTTTATAAAAATTAATATTTTAGGACTCTCAATACATTGTTAAATACTAAAAGTAGTTTACAAAGCACATTATTAAAGAATCATGTTTTTATGGTTAGCACATGGCATCTATTATTGAATGAATGAATATACAGTCCCTCCCTTGTTTCCCTGCATAGAAAACATTCAGTGAGATTTAACTACCTTGTCTATTTGATGTGCAGGCAGTGATGAACAACTTGGAAAATTAGTTTACAATGCATTGGAAACAGCCACTGGCAGCTTTGTCCTGTTGTATGAGTGGGTCCTTCAATGGCAGAAAAAAATTGGTCCTTTCCTTACCAGTCAAGAAAGAGAGAAAATTGATAAGTGCAAAAAGCAGGTGAGTATTCACTATGGCTAGCTAAGCAAAAGGCCAATCTAAAGTAATTGGAGATGGTAGAACAAAATAGTTCTGTGTTTGGGCTCCGAGATGATCCAGAGTGGATGAGTTCTGTTTAACCAAGAGAGGACTAGAGGGCAAGCATCTTCTTCAAAGTTTTCTTAGCCCCTTGTTCCCTCTTTGAGAACTTCACAATATGGACAAAACTTCTGCAGTTGCCATCTTGTTCTCCTTTCTCAGCCCTTATGGCATTAACAACTATCACTCCAACTATTTCAAAGTTGTATGGTTGTTTTTGTTTTTCTAATTTGTTTTTTTTTTTTTATTGTCTGAACATTTTTTATTCATTTATTTATATGTGGTGTTGAGAATCGAACCCAGTACCTCACACTTGTGAAGCAAGAGCTCTATCATTCAGCCCCAACCCCAGCCCAAAGTTGTGCTTTTTCTTTTCTTTTTTTTAAAGAGAGAGAGAGAAAGAGAGAATTTTTTAATATTTATTTTTTTAGTTTTCGGTGGACACAACATCTTTATTTTATTTTTATGTGGTGCTGAGGATCGAACCCAGCGCCCTGCGTATGCCAGGCAAGCGCACTACCGCTTGAGCCACATCCCCAGCCCAAGTTGTGCTTTTTCAAAAATAAAAAAAAATTTTTTTAGTTGTGGATGGACACAGTACCTTTATTTTATTTATTTTTATGTGGTGTTGAGAATTGAACCCAGTGCTTCACACGTACTAGGCAAGCGCTCTACCATTGAGCCACAACCCAGCCCCCAAAGTTGTACTTTTTGAAGTTACATATATCATCTCTACTCTTTAAAAATATTGCTTCAAAACTGATTTGAGGGGAACTGCAGATTTTTTTCTTTTTGCAATATTGGGGATTGAAAGAAGAGTTTTATTATTAATCTATAATACCAAGCTTAAGGAAAAAAAGCAGATAAAGCTTGGTGTTTAGAAATGTGAGTTTTCTTATGTTTAGAAAGAAAAACTGTAAATGCAAAAAATCACAAGTTTTTTTTTTTGGATGGTGATAATATAGATAATTTGTGGATTTTTTTACCTTTGTATTAACTTAAAAATTCTTTTTGCGGTGCTAGGAATTAAACTCCAGGTCATGCATGGTAGGCAAGTACTCTACTACCAAGCTATACCCCTAGTCCCTAATTTAAAAAACTTTTATAGTGATTTTATTATAATCAAAAAAGGTTATTTTAAAATGAGTGGTTCCCCTGCCCCCATGGCTTAACTCAAAATAAGTTGATTTTAAAAGCCATTCACTAATTTTGTAGTATTTATACACTAAGTTTTGAAATTTTGAATTAAGAATTGAATTTTTTTCATCTTTATTCTATTCAGGGAATATTTTTTCTCCTCTCATGAAAGTATATTTTCTTTCAAGTACTTCACTTTTAAAGTGAAACACCTATTAATGCTGACTTACCCAATATTATCTTTTTTTAAAATTTTTTTCCTTATCAGCTTCAAGGGGCAGAAACAGAGTTCAACTCACTGGTGAAATTGAGTCATCCAAATGTGGTTCGCTACTTTGCCATGAATTTCAAAGAGCAAGACAACTCCATCACCGTGGACATTTTAGTGGAGCACATCAATGGGGTCTCTCTCGCTACACACCTGAGTCACTTAGGCCCCATCCCTGTGCATCAGCTTCGCAAGTATGCAGCTCAGCTCTTGTCAGGCCTTGATTATCTTCACAGCAATTCTGTGGTGCACAAGGTCTTGAGTGCATCGACTGTCTTGGTAGATGCAGAGGGTACTGTGAAGATTACAGATTACAGCATTTCTAAACGTCTAGCGGACATTTGCAAGGAGGATGTGTTTGAGCAAACCCGAGTGCGTTTTAGTGACAATGCCCTGCCTTATAAAACAGGGAAGAAGGGGGATGTTTGGCATCTTGGCCTTTTGCTACTCTCCCTGAGCCAAGGACAGGAATGTGGAGAGTACCCCGTGACCATCCCCAGTGACTTACCAGCCGACTTTCAAGATTTCCTCAAGAAGTGAGTGTCATTGAAATTTTCTAATTGCGTTTTACTCCTGCTTTTTTGATTGTGCAGATCAAAGGCAAGACCTCCTTTTTATTTTATTTATTTTTTTATTATTTATTTTAATTAATTACACGTGACAGTACAGTGATCTTGACATATCATACATTTGAATCAAATGGGGTATAATTACTCCTTTTTCTGAGTGTACAGGTTGCTGAATCACATCACATCACAAGACCTCCTTTTTAAAAAAGAGCTTCAAGGGTGATGCTGCCTCTTGTTCTCATTCTTCTTTGGCTGTTTCATTCAGCCAAGTCTTGAGAAGCAAATGACTTCCTGACTCTAGCCAGACTTTTTTCAGCACCTGTGAATTACAGGTGCACATTTAATTATAAAACCAAGTTTAATCTGATTTAAGAGAATCATTGATTGGAGAGTTTTCCTTGGGCCTAAAGTCTTTGTCTGGATTCTTCAATTCAGCATTTTCTACTTTCACTATATCTGTTCTTGGTCCAAGCCAGAGCTAAGTTCCCTCAGTTTCTGTTAAATAGGAGATAAGATCCTTCCTGTCTGGATTTTTCAGATAGTCTCCTGATCTAGCTTTCTTGCAGAAGTTGACCTAGACTGTTTTTTTCCCCTTTGACTCTTCTCTTTCTGACCCTGTCTTGTTTTTTTAATTTCTTTTTCCCAGTTATTTGCTTTAATTCACTTTGTCTACTCCCTACATTTCTTTTCTTTTACCCTTCACATTTCTTTCCCTATTCTCATCTTTACCAATTGCCAGTTGACCTCATGGTATTATTCCCTGTTACTATCCTACTTGTTATAAATAGTACTTGCTCTTGTATAGTCATGTGCCACATAACAGGTTCTTTCAAAAACCTACTGTACTTATGGTAGTCCCATAGATTGTGTCATCCAAAGACATGATTTAGCTCATGTTCATTTCTGGAAACACACTTATGATATTCACATAATGACAAAATTATCTGAAGACATGTTTCCAGAATGTATCCCAGTTGTTAAACAACATATGACCATGTGTAAGTGAGATAGTTTTTGTGTACCACAAAATAGAAGTAGACACAATATACATACAGTTGTAGAAAGAAATCAACTTTGTTCTTCTGTATGCTGTATTCTTTCCATAGAATATATAAAAATCTTAAGATTTTAAAGAAATATTTTATGATTCCTTTTAAGTGTGATAGAACTTTAAAAATACTTATTTTAGTGCACCCTAACTATGAGGTTGGCTGAAATGACAAATATGGCAATGGAATAGCTGATGGAAACAATGGTTTTAGTCTTCAAAGTGTCACTTTGAACTTTCTGTTCTTGATTGGTCAAGAGTAATTTAGTAAAAGTTAGCAATAGCATTGTGTATTATTTTTAAACAGCACAGGAGGGTTTAATTAGAAGATATTTTTTCACATTTAGTAGCAGAATGATAGTCTCGGGAATAAAACTTTCCTAGTTTTTGACTTACAGAAATGGCTCCCAAATATTAGTTTGAGCTGGGGACGTAGCCTAGAATGTGTAAGGCCCTTGGTTCAATCCCCAGTACCATAAAAAAGAAAAAAGAAACCACTCTATCTTCTATCAATTTTTAACTTGAGATCAGCACTGTTTCTTATCCTTTTAACATGGTTGTCCTTCAGAATATTGTGTCCATTCCTCTGTCTTCCAAAAGTACTTCAATAGACCCTGTTTGTTTAGGAAAGAGTTGCAAGATACTATTTTACTACCTTCGCTGTTTCACCCCAGTTAACCAAAGAAAAAATCATTCACAAAGTGTAGCAACATTCCATCTATAGTTACAGTTTTATTTGTTGGTTCTGGGTAGGAGCTCAGACTCTGGAGCCAGACAGCTGGGTCACATCTCCTACTCCTTCCTGGCTGAGGGACTGAGATACCCTGCCCTTGCTGTGAATATCAGATGAGTTAACACCTGTAAAGAGCTTCAAACCCTTCCTAGCACTTGACTGAATCGATGTTAGTTCTCTGCCTGAATGAGAACTTTCCACATTTCATCCTTTTTTAAAAAATATTTATTTTTTTTTATTGTAGTTGGACACAGTACCTTTATTTATTTTTACCCAGTGCTGAGGATCGAACCCAGGGCCTCGCATGTGCTATGTGAGCGCTCTATGGCTGAGCCACAACCCCAGCCCCATTTCATCCTTTTTGTTCAAAGTCAGACCTAGCATTTGCCTTTTCCACTTATGGCTACTATGTTGCCCAATGATTGGTTTAGAGAATTTCATTGTTTTAAGTGGGATCTTGGTGGTATAAAATCTCATTTATTTATAAGAGTACAATTTATTCTGGGCAGAGTTTAAATTTTTTCTGATCCAGATCTGTTGTCATGTCACATTAATGTCATAGTTGAGTTGGAGGTGAAACACTTCAGAAACCCAACAGGGCAAGTGTAGGGATGTTCATTGCAGCTTTTATGTATGTGTGGGTATATATATATATAATCAATACATATACAAACACACACATATATGAAATAATTGTAAATAATAATAGGAGAATGTGTAAATGAATTCTAGTAGGTTCATGCATCTACAAAAATCAATAACAAATCTTTAAGTACTGGCTTAGAAAGATCTCTAAAACACATGATTGAAAGAAAAGCATGCTATCGAGGATGCAGGGAAAAAGGTACACTCATCCACTGCTGGTGGGACTGCAAATTGGTGCAGCCAATATGGAAAGCAATATGGAGGTTTCTTGGAAAATTGGGAATGGAACCACCATTTCACATAGCTATCCCTCTCCTCGGTCTATACCCAAAGGACTTAAAAACAGCAGACTACAAGATTAGATGAATGGATTAAAAATGTGGCATATATACACAATGGAATATTACTCAGCAATAAAAGAGAATAAAATCATGGCATTTGCAGGTAAATGGATGGAGTTAGAGAAGATAATGCTAAGTGAAGTTAGCCAATCCCCCAAAAACAAATGCTGTATGTTTTCTTTTATGTAAGGAGGCTGATTCATAGTGGGATAGGGAGAGGGAGCATGGGAGGAATAGATGAACTCTAGATAGGGCAGCGGGGTTGGAGGGAAAGGGAGGGGGAATGGGGTAATTAATGATGGTGGAATGTGAGAACCATTATTATCCAAAGTACAGGTTTTTTGTTCAAAGTCAGACCTAGCATTTGCCTTTTCCACTTATGGCTACTATGTTGCCCAAATGATTGGTTTAGAGAATTTCATTGTTTTAAGTGAGATCTTGATGGTATAAAATCTCATTTATTTATAAGAATACAATTTATTCTGGGCAAGCTTTAAGTTTTTACAAAGTACAGGTATGAAAACACAAATTGGTGTGAATTTACTATGTATACAACCAGAGATATGAAAAATTGTGCTGTATATATGTAATAAGAATTGTAATGCATTCTGCTGTCATATATATATTTTATACACACACACACACACACACACAGAGAGAAAAGCAAGTTAAAGAATAATATGTACAGGATGATGCTGCCCCAAAATATCAATACATTAGCTGGGCACAATAGAACACACCTGTAATCTCAGTTTCTTGGGAGGCTGAGGAAGGAGGATCATCAGATGGAGGCTTGCCTGGGTAACTTAGTAAGACCCTATCTCAAAGTAAAATTAAAAGGGCTGGGGATGTAGTAGAGTGACCCTGGCCAGGTTCAATCCCTAATACTACCAAAAATAATTAATTAAATGTAATATTTTTTAAATACAGTATTATTTTGGGTGGTTGTGTGTTTGTTTATATAAATGCATAAAAGAGTCTAAGGATGTATAGTCAGAGGAGGGAAGACCTGGAGAGAGGAAGGATTTGGTCAAAGACTATCATTATCAATCATGATTTAATATTTGCAAGGGAAAGGTATTTATGCTTACTAATATAATTAAAATTAATTTTAAATTTAGGGGGAGATAAAGAATCTTACACAAACTGTTTTACTGGAATCTTGTCTTTTCCGGGTCTTTTCCTACCTTGAGTGTTTTTTTAGTACTGTGTCATAAAAAGTAAAATGTTGTCCTTCATGATAGTTGTTGTCACCACTTTATAGATTTTAAGTCAAGTTCTGGGCTTAAGTGTATTGTTTATAATTAGGGCCAAGTACTACCAAGTGGTACCACTAGGGTCATTGTTATAAATGCCACAGTTTAGCTTACTGAGAACAGTGGTTCTTAGATTTTAGCTTGAGTTAAAACATCTAGGAGGGAAAATTTTTAAAAAATTGTTTTTGTGGGCTGGGGATATAGTTCAGTTGGTAGAGTGCTTGCCTCACATGCACAAGGCCC